TCAACTGAGTAGAGCAGTATTTATCTTCTGTGAATTTACACACACATGCACACACATGTGCACACTCATGTGTGCACGCTCATGGACCTCAGCTCACACCAAGCCTAGAAGTTGCACAAGTGTCCCAGTGGGAACATATTCAGAAAGTGTAGCTTTTTCCCTTCGTTTAGACATTGTTCCAGGTAGGAGTGTCCCTCTTATCACTGTGGCTGTCCTTTTTTGTTCAGGGAGAGTCTCTGGCTGTGCCTTGCAGTGTATGCACTGCTGGAACAGAGGCACAGGGAACTTTGGCTGGTGCTGCCTGACTCCAGAGTCAGGAGGAAATTCTTCTTATCTCTAAAGACAATTTACTGTTCTGTAGCTTCTCCCTCAGTAGGGCTTGAAATACTTTCTGAGTAATGCAGTACCCTCAACCCTTGACCTGGATCTTGGAGACACCAGAACACTGTTCAATGGTTCATATTCTGAGAGTTCTCCAGGGTCATCTTTTTTTACTGTGTGTATAATGTAGTATCTGGGTGTCCAGCATCCATGAAGACTTTAGGCCAGAGAAGCGCAAGATGAAATCTAAACCTAAGGCATAGTTTGTACCTTCAGAGGAAAAATTTGGAGCAGGGACTCTGAAAACCCATGGCAATGTTTGCTAGCAGAGCCCAGACTTTGCTTTGTTCCAGCAGACAAAGGGTTGCAAAAAGAGTTTAGGGCTCACAGCAAGTAACCGTAGAATGAAAACAGTTACATCTAAATCCTGCGTCTCTGTCTCCAGGACAGAGACTGGAGAACTACCAAGCTCCTCCATAAGAAGAGGGTGGGTGGGCTCCTGATGTTGCTCCTATCTACCCTTGAAGATTCTTCCTGGCTCAGGGTCACTTTCCACTGGCCTCAGCCAGGATTGCCCACTTGTCTAATGGAGAAGACCTGCAGGGAGGAGGAATATTGCAGCAAGCCACTCAGCTGAGAGCAAACTGTATTATGGAGTTTTCCCACATTCCTCTAAGGCTGGTAGTCCTCTCTGTACACCTGTCCTGATATCAAAGCTGCCCTGACAAACTCTTCAATCTTATTGAAGTTTATCTTATTTATCTTATCTTATTGAAATGAATCTTATTTAGTTTATCTTATCTTATTGAAGTGAATCTTATTTAAGTTTAGAAAGAACTTTCCCCCAGCTCTTGCACACTTGTTGGTAGCCTAGCAGAAACTGAAAACTTCTCAGCATATGCCTGATAGTGAATCCCAAACCAAGTTACTGTTAACCATTTCCTTCCTATGTTATTTTCCCAGACTCCCTAGAGCTCTTTAGAACCCTGTGACATCACAGTGCCATCTTGTGGTCTGCATGTGAAATCTCATTGTTATTTTCTTTGCAATGGCTTAAGGAATGCAGGTAAATGCCTGCATAGTGTGCAGATTTTATGGGCAGTTTCCTTAGATTTTAATGCAACTCTAATTCGTACCCTGAATTTCAATCCTCATGCTTACTTCTTCATTTTCCTTACATCACATACATCAATTGCAACGGTTAACAGAAACACCAGTGATTTGGAGGCAGATTTATTTATGTCAAACAGTGACAATGGGGATCATTCTCAAAATATCAAGCCCTGAATTCCGAAGGTCTAGAGTTTATATGAGGAAGTCAAGCAGGAAGTACAGAGGCAGAATTCCTTGTCAGTTAGGGATTGTTTTATGCCCTATGCATCACAGTGGCAAGCAGTGTTTAGGAGAGAGGTGCAGAGGGAAGTGAAACAGGAACTAGTACCTGGATGACTAGGAATCAGAAAGTTCCTGGCTGATGAGGGGGTGGTATTTTCTGCTACACAGTCACTGCCTTAAGGTGATTTATTTAAAGCCATTTTCTAAATTAAGAAGGATAGATTGGGAGGAATGTGTGAAAATACTTGGTGTCAAATATTGTTGAAAAAATGAAATGTAAGAAGTATTATTTCTTTTAAATCCATTACTCTGAGATTATAAAGGTTAACAACAAAACAAACATTCAAAACTTTACCCAAACAATAAAGGAGCAAAGGACTGTGCAGATAATGTGATTATGTTCAAAATGGGATCAAATGTGTGAATTTAAATTAAAATAAGGAAAACTGGAGGGTATCTTGCAAGACAACAATCATGGAAGATACAGTGTCTAGTGGTAAACCTTGAGTGGGTAGTATTAAAAATGTACAAAGTCCTTTGACACTAATACAATGACCTGCCCAGAGGGTGTTTACTTAAATGAACAACAGAGAATAGAGGAATCTGAGGACCCACTAGGACAGGGAAGCTCAGCTACCCAGCACACTGTGGGTGGATTAGAGAACTTGTTTATTTTCTTAAGGACCAGCTTAAAGGATCCATTTCCACTCCCTGGAATCTGCTCATGTGTCTCTCTCTGCATTCTGCATGAAGAGAGCAGGCAAGGGAGGTGTTAAGAAGATTTTATCAGTAAACTATAAATGCAGAAAAAAGCAAGAGTTTGTTTAGATGGGGGCACACTGTCAAGGTGGCAGCAGGGAAATCTGCCAAGTATAGTGACTCTTGGAAAAGAAATTTGGTGTACTGAAACACTACAATTCTTGTTAAATGGATTTACAGGAACTGTGATTCCCCTGAAAACTACACAGAGGCATCTGAATTATGGCTGTGTCTGTGCTACTAAATCTCACTCCTGGAGCCCTAGGTTGTTTCTTGAGACTCCCAGACACATGGGAAATATGATCATATAAACTCTGACCATGGTTTTTAATGATATAAACCACAGTTGGGCAAGTAACTTAATTAAAATGTAAGCATTTGAGTTTATAAGAAATAACATGTAACAAATATATCAAATAAAGCAGATTAAAAGAGACATCTTTTTAAAAAATTCAGTGTTTGAATTTTTAAAATCCCATTTTTTTGAGTTGAAAACCTCAGGGTTATCATTTCAAATCAAAAGTCTGGTGTAACAATTAAAACAGTCTGATTTCCATAGTAGTTGCACCAGTCTAAACTCCCACCAGTAGTGGAGAAGGTTCCTTTTATTCTATAGCCCCTCAAGCATTTGTTGTTGGTTGTTTTCTTGATGGTGACCGATTCTTTCTGGAGTGAGACAGAATCTCAGTTTGCTATTAATTTGTATCTCTCAAATGACTTGTGATATTGAGCATTTTTCATGTTTATTCGTCGTTTGTACTTCTGTGTCTGAGAAATGTATATTCATTTTACATGCTTAGTTTTGGATTACGTTTTTACATATGAAGTGTCTGACATTTTGAATTCTTCATATATTCTAGATACTTTAGGCCTTTGTCTGAGGAACAACTGGCAATTTTTTTTCCCATTCAGTGGTTTGTATCTTCCCTCTGTTGGTGGTTTCACTTGCTTTGCAAAAGCATTTTAATAAGACAAAATCCTGCTTCTTAAGTCTCTGTAATATTTCATGTTTGATACAATATTTATTCATAAAGTCACTGCTTATAATTTTGTCTTCAAGAGTTTGGTTTTTCTTTCACAAGTTTTAGTGTTTCTGTTTTAGATTTTATATCCACCTTGCCTTTAGTTTAGTGCATGGTGATTGGCATGACTCTACTTTTAGTATTTGACATTTAGAAACCCAGTTTTTTCAACACTATTTATTAAAGGGGAGGCCTTTCACACAGTGAATATGCTGGGTCCTGCGTGAAAAGTAAGGTGACTTAGTGTGTTTGGAGTTGTTTGTGCATCTGTGTGGACATTCCATAAAAAATAAAACTAGTTATTCACCTTCTTGGAATCTCCCCAAAAGAATTAAAAGCATCACACCACAGGGTTATATGCAAACCTAGATACAGCAGCACATTGTATGACGGTTAAATCTTGGAAAAGTCCAAATGCTCATTAGCCAGTGATTAGATAGAGAAGATTTTTTTTTTTTTTTTTACTACAATGGGACACTACTCAGGCATAAAAAAATGTTTAACTTGAGAATAAAAAATATTTAACTTGATACATTTTGAGTTAAATGATTGCACATTTAGGCCATATTTCAGTAAGATAAATAAGATACATGTGTGTAAATATTGTATTCTCCAGTATGACAAAGTGAGAATGTAAATAAGGACCAAAATGTATAATAGATATTGTAAAATAGGAAGAAAATGTTTGAATGGAAAGGGGAACTGGGAGGGTAGAAAGAAATAAGTACAGAAAGAAGGAGAAAAATTGAAACAAAGGTTTTGTAAATATAAGGAAGGGAAGAAAGGTTGAAGTAAGTGGAATGAGAAAAACAGAAGAATTAGTTTGTAAAATACAAAGGTACAAATTCCCTATAATGACTGTGTTCATTATATAAATCTAAAATGCATTAATACACTTAATTAATTAAAAATCAATTCTTAGAAGATTGACAGGTAATTAAGAATGATTGTGGTGGTAGTAAAAGCATGCTTTAGTTTAGGAATTAGAATGGAAGCATTGGAAAGCAAAAGGAAAATGAAAGAAAGGAATTGCTAACCTAAGCAGAAGAAAGGACAATTCTTTATTGCTATTATTGTGTTCACTCATTTACTATACCAAAGGTAACAAAGTCTTTCACTTCAAAAAGAAAGATGAATTTTTGTGTTTCAGAAAACTCTCACTGTGACAGAGATGTAAGGGAGTCCTGAACAGGGAGTGAATGTGCAGCCTCCAATCTTTCAGCAACCAGATGAGTCAGCAGATGGGATGGTGTCAGGCAGCACACCATGCATGACCCAAGCTAATTTAGGTGAGCAACAATTTTAGTGTCATAGGACAGATCACCCGTCACAGCTGTGACCACGAATGCTAAGATATCCAATCTTCACCAGCTGTGTGGGATTGTGGAGGACATCTAGGACCAAACAATTAATGAGGGTTTCTTTATAGCCAGTATGCTGGCAGAGGTCGTCTGTGGTCTCAAAACACTCTAGATGTTTACTGCTGTTTGTGGAATCTAGGAGCTGACAGGAGAGAAGGAAGTTTGTGAACAGGAAGGAGGTGGCCTTGGCTCACTGTGGCTGCTTGCACAGAGGTACACAGCAGAATCCCCTGGCTGTGCACTTTTGATCTTCAGATGGGAGAAGGTGCCCTCAGTCCTCTCTGTTGAGAACCTCTCAGTAGGCATCCCTGAGGTGTCTGATGGAAGTTCATTCTGAAAGTACATGAGGAACTTCGGGCCTTGTTCTGGGTTCTTTTGGTACCAATAAAGAAAAGTGTGTCCAGAAATTGGATCACACCTGAAAGTTACATTCTGTCCCTTTATTGTGACCTTGTAACTGGGGGACTGGGAGACTCCAGCTTCGGTGTGATCTATGAAGACAGAGGCTGGGAATAGAATGATAAAAACAGTTTTAGTTGCCACTTGCATAAGTCGACACATGCATACACACATGGTATAGGCACACACACACACACACACACACACACACACACACAGACACACACACACACACACACACACACACACACACACACACACACACAAATACGAGAAAACTGCTTGGTTTTCTGTGCACTTACCTATTCCCAGAAGACAGAGGGCAAACCAGGAAAAGAACCTGGTACCCATGGTAGGCTGAGCTCAGAACAGAGGCTCACCAGATCAGACAGAAAAGGAAATGCATCTTTTGACATCACACAGTGGTTCCCACCATGACATCACTTCCTCTCAAAATCCTTTCCACCTTAATAATACATAATTTACATTACAAAATACTAGGATGACTGATTTAAAAATTTATAAGCTAGTTTTTAACAAAAGAAATTCATAGGTAATAAATTTTAAACTTAATGCTGTCTGGATTCTGAGTCCTCACATTTTGTGTTCTTTCACAAGGAAGGTGTAAAAGATAGGATATGCATCTGTGTATGAAGGCATTTTAAGCACAGAAACTTTGCATCCAAAAATAATATTTTCTTTTTCCATTTGCCACTAACACACAACTCCAGGCAAAGTACTTAAATTATATTTTTGACTTTATCACATTTGAATTCAAGGATATATCACACTTTGAAGTGGATATTTCCCCAGCAAGTGAAAAGCAGGTCTATCCGTGTGGACTTTCCCATGCTGGTTCAACAGGTGAATGCTTTTCATAATCCACAGCAGACCAATTCAATCACAGAAATTCACTAACTTTCACATTTCTAAAGCCTGGATTAGGCAACTGGAATCTGGTATGTGAAAAACATTAGGACCCCAAGTCCTAACTTGAGAAATTTGTCTCTCCATTCGTCAATTGAAGACAATGAAAGATCAAAAGTACTTGACTTATCACTTAAATCCAACATATTCAGGCAAATACAATATTTCCACTTTGAAGTTTATGTTATCCTTCGAGTGGGTTTACAGATCACAGTATTCTTGTACACAGTACCTGAGTTAATATTACTTGGCAAAACTCCAGCACCATGGCAATGCATGAAGGAGAAGACAGTAGAAACAGCTAAAAGTGTGCTTCTGAAGAGGGGGACAACTGGAACCTCAGTTGTGACAGGAAAATCCAGAGTGGAGACATTCAATTTTTGGCATCATTCACTTGCCATCCCAAGTGTAGGCAAGTAGGAACTCCTGAGGACCATAGCAGGGTAAGAAGGTGGGTGACTGGAGATATCTTTTGGGGAGAAGCCTTCCTGTGTGAGGTCTTTAAATCAATTACTTAGCCTGGAAACTGCTTTCTAGAATGAAGGTCAAGGAGGCCTTCATTCAGAATTTAGGATGAAATGGTAAGAGACTGCCATTACACTCGGAAGATCATCATGGTCTTGCAAGGAGACAGTGACTGGCAGGTACACAGATGTGCAAAACCCCGAGGCATCCTCTCTCTCTCTCTCTCTCTCTCTCTCTCTCTCTCTCTCTCTCTCTCTGTCCTGCACTCTGTGACTAGTTTACCTCCTCAAATGCTGGCCAAAAACAGTGAGGCTTAGTAAAAGCCATAAACCCATGGAGTACCCCACGTGGGAACAGCGTGTCTAGCATCAGGTTTTCATGAATTTCTCCTGCTCCTGTTTTAGATCTCACCAAGTGGCTGAGGATGCCCTTAGCATCATCCCCCATAGCTCCAGCTTGTGCTTCTGAACCATCCCTCCAAGAGCTCTGCCCACCAGCTCTAACTCCCAGCTCCTCCCTTCCACCTTGATTTTTCTCAGCACTTCTTACATTTGAAATAGGTCTAATTCACATGATAAGCCCTCTCTTCCCATAATGCGGTTAATGCTTCTGTTCCTCTATGGGAGACTTCATAGTGGTATTGATACTGGAAGAGATTTTCAGGAAAGAAAGTTTAGGTTAACATTCTGGAAGCTGAACTCTATACTACCTAGGTTTCTTGTGAAGAAAGCAGCTGAAGGAAAGAGTAGACTTTGCGGGAAGCCTGGTTGTGAAACTGTAAAAGAAGCCAGAGCTGTTAGACATGCACAGGAGATTACCCTTTATATTCCAAAACCCACTGTAGCCCATTAAAGAAAAAGATGTGACTTCTCATATGTAATATTTGATCTCTGCCATGTTAGTGTGCAATCTAGGGTATTTTGTTGTTGGTTCATGCTTCCATTTTGTCAGTCAGTCACTCAACCTTTCTCTGTAAGATAGTGTTGTAGTTAGGGGTTGTGAGGAGAACAATCAAATGCTGACATGGAGTTTATAATATTATTTTATGACTGTCAGGCAGAATTAGCACTAGAAAATGCAGCAAATCTATGCACAACACTAAAGATATAGAATATGTAGCCAAGGTCCTGAATCCTACAGCAATGTTTCACATGATTCCAGGTGAAGACCCAGAGCTCATGAGAATGTCTCTCAGGAGTCCAGCTGGAGGTCTAGAGCCCATAAGAAAGACTCATGCAAGTCTTTTTGTGGATCTGTGCTGGGAAGGATCAAAGATCAGCAGTGCAATCTAGAAAGTGTTTGCCAGCAGGGTAAAGGATCTGTGCTGGTAGCTTTAGTGATCTACACTAGAGCCAAGGAGTCATGTTCAAAACAAAGACCTGGGATGTTTTGAAAAGGACCACAGCCATCCTCAGCGACATGGAGGTCTGAGTTCCTTCAATGATAGTCACAGTCTAGTACATGCCAGGAAGCCAGTGTGACTAGTTCATTCTGGAGATTAAGCAGCACATGTCATCCCCTCTGGAGCCAGGAAGCAATGCTCAATATGAGGACCAGAGCTTCTCCAGGAGAACCAATGGCTCAAACATCATCACTTATGAGAATCCACAATGCCTCAGTGCCTCAGCAACTCAATGTCTTTTTACTCCTTCTCCATGTCTCTATTTATGCAGGCAAATTTCCTCAGGTGAAATATCTACTCTCAGGACCATGGTGATTTAATTCTGCTGGCCTTAAGTTGACCACAAGCTTTTAATCCATAACATATGGTTTCTCAATACAGTAAGGTGAATTTGTAGGGGAGTAAAGAGACAGTGACAGTCCTTAAAATACAGTTGAGTAGAAAAATAATCAGCCAAGTTCTGAAAAATTATTTGTGCTCAATTCTTTTCACATGAGGTCTTGTGAAGTTATAGAAGGGAGATTGAGCTTGGTAAGAAGGAAAGGAACTTCCCTTAGGAGCATCACTGAGACCTGAGGTCCAGGTGCGTCTTTGCCTCTAGGAAATGAAAAGCTCTGTGCCAGTGGAGGCACCATTGCCTGGCACTGTGGACATAGGGGTAGGTAGAGAATTCATGAATAGAACTCAAACCGCACAGGAAATACTTCCCAGAGTCAATAACTGAGATCACCTCTTATAAAAAGTGTCTGCACGTCAAAAGAAATCTCTAGCACAGTGAAAAGAAAACCCACAAACTGGGAAAAAATATAAGTGAACTGCCCCTCAGACAAAGGATTTCTGTCTAAAACATATAATGAATTTAAAAAATTCAGACCTCCAAAATTCAAAGACCCAAGCCAAAAGTGGGCATCTGAGATGAATAAACAATTTTCAGAGGAAGAAATACAAATGGCAAATAAATATATGAAAAAATGTTCATCAACATTGGTCATTAGAGAAATGCAAATTAAAACCACTTTGAGATTTCATCTCACCCCTGAAAGAATGGCCGGAATCAAGAAAACCACCAACAACAAATGCTGGAGAGGCTGTGGGGAAAAAGGAACTCTCCTCACTGTTGGTGGGAGTGTAGACTAGTGCAACCATTTTGGAGATCAGTCTGGAGTTTTCTCAGAAAGCTGGAACTGGAAGCCCCATTTGACCCAGCTATACCACTTCTAGGCATATTCCCAGAAGAACCGAAAGCATCATACCACAGTGATATGTGTGCACCCATGTTTATAGCAGCATAATTTTGTAATAGCCAGATCTTAGAAACAACCTAAGTGTCCATCAACTGAGGAATGGATAAAAAAGTTGTGGTATTTTTATACAATGGAGTACTATTCAGTTATAAAGAATGATCACATTGATACATTTATAAATAAGTGGATGCAGCTTGAGACCATACTCATAAGTGAAATAAATCAAACTCACATGTATAAATACTGAATAGTTTCCCTAGTGTAAGAAATGATAAGAATACATAAAAGTATGTTGTAATCATGATTCCCATCATATTGGTTTGAAGCCATATAATGTTTTCACTCATTAATTGCAATGGTTTTAACCAGGGTTGTTCAATTTTAGTATGTATGATAGTACTAATAGCTATTTTGTCTTTGTTTGTTTGTTTGTTTGTTTGTTTTTGTTGTTTTTATCGGTACCAGGGATTGAACTCATGACTGCCTGCTTGGAAGACAGGTGCTTGTGCAGCTGAGCTAAATCCCTAGTCCCAAGAATAGGTATTTTGAAGAAAACAACACAACATAAAAGGTAGTCCTGATTTAATATCACCTTGTTTTGAAATCCCATCAAGCAGTTGTACATCTGTTTCCACTGGTTTTAACATGTTGTATCTTACTATATTTTACTATATGCAATAGTATAAATAAAATTTTTTATAGGCAAAGAGATAATATAGAAGCCATAGTTTGTTTTCTATTAGCTGGTTCTAAATACCCTGAAATTCTTTCATTCTCTTGAATGGCTTCACACTGTCTTGATATGCTTGATTCTATAGCATACGAAGTTATACTCAAATAATTCAAGGAAAGAGGCATTATGGTGACTATTATTATATTAGATTATCTGGTGGTGAAACACAATGATGCTTAAATTGTTCAGTTCTGACCTGCGTTGTTCTGTTACAATGTCCTCTTTTATCTCAATCTCCCCCTTTTTAAAAAATTAATCTATTTTTCTCATTTTTTTAATTAAGGAAAAACTAAATTAAAATTAGTCAGATATATTATAGTCACTTTTTTGTTTTCCTATTAACCTAATTTGAACCCAGTGTTGCTCTCCCCATCTTATTCTGTCTGATTATACTATATTCTATTTTGTTTGATAGTATCAAGTTTGAGGGTATAGGCAACCACTTTGAAGGCAATAAGATATACTATGATGCCCATTCTGCTTTGACTATTATCTTTTATTTAAAGTCCTGTATGGTCTCTAGTGTAGGTCTTATTGGTCTTGTTCTGTACTGTTTTGATCAATTCTATGATACCTGATGGTGTAGGCAACTCAATTTAAAAATAGCAAGAGGCACAATGGTAACCACTTTTGATCACCTGGTATTTTATTTTTGTATCATGTACTATGCCCATCCTTCTGTTCTAGCTGACTCTGTTTTGCTTAGTCACGTTTGATTTTATTCTCTTCAAAAAAAATAATAAGAACTATGGGAGTAAAAAAAACCCTGAAAATTGTAATTGTTATTGTAAAAAAGAGAAAAGGAAGTTGGGCTAAGGGATATAACTGCAGGTATGTTTGAGTGTGTAGGATGGAAAACCATATTACTGAGATTTTGCTGGATCATTGAATGGAACTGTCTCCAATATCCTTGTATGAATGTCCACTTTATATCCTTTAATTTTATAATTTGAACAACTGTTTCTAAGAAGACAGTATGTAACCTATTAACTATTGATTTCTTACTGTATATTTTTTCTTGATATTTTGTGTTACTTGTACCCTTTTACTGCTTTGTTTTTTATGCCCTTTCTTTTTACACTTTAAAATAAAAAAAAATAGAGCCTGAATAACAACAGTTTCATGGTACTTCAAAACAAGATGATATTAAATCAGCACTAGCTATTACGATGTCTTGTTTTCTTCAAAAATAGCTGTTCATATCGTCACAGACAGTAAAATCAAAGAGCCTGGAATGAAACCACTCCAATTAATAAGTGAAAACTTTGTAATGCTTCAAAGTCATATAATGAGGAATCATGATTACCTCATTCTTTTATGTATTTATATCATTTCTTACACTAGGGAAACTATTTGGTATTCATACATGTGAGTTCAATTCATTTCACTTACGAGTACGGTCTCAAGATGCACCCATTTATTTATAAATATCTCAATGTGATCCTTCTTTATAGCTGAGTAGTACTCCATTGTATTAAAATACCACAATTTTTTAATCCATTCCTTGGTCGATGGACACATAGATTGTTTCCAAGGTCTGGCTATTACAAATTATGCTGCTATAAACATGGGTGCACATATATTCAATCAGTGCCAATGGGGATCATCCCAGAATATCAGGCCCTGATTTCTGGAGGTCTAGAGCTTATATGAGGAAGTCAAGCAGGAAATACAGAGGCAGAATGGCTGGTCAGTTAGGGATTTTTTTATGCCCTATGCATCACAGTGGCCAGCAGTTTCTAGGAGACAGGAGCAGACGGAAGTGAAAGAGGAACTAGTACCTGGGTGACTAGGAATTGAAGGATCCTGGCTGGTGATGGGATGGTATTTGCTGCTACATAGTCACAGCCTTAAGGTATTTTTTCTTAAAGTCATTTTCTAAACTAAGAAGGGATAGTTTGGGAGGAATGAGTGAAAATACTTGGTGTCAAATATTGTTGAAAAAATGAAATGTAAGATGTATTATTTCTTTTAACTCCATTGCTCTGAGATTATAAAGGTTAAAAACAAAACAAACATTCAAATATTAAGACAACAATTATAGAAAATGCAGTGTCTTGTGGTAAAGCTTGAGTGTGTAGAATTAAGAATTCACAAATTCATTTGACACTAAAGCAATGACTTGCCTAATGGGTGTCTACTTATATGAGCAACAGGGAACAGAGGAATCTGAGGACCCACTAGGACAGGGAAGCTCAGCTACCCAGCGGACTGTGTGGTGGATTAGAGAACTTGTTTATTTTCTTATGGCCCAGCCAAAAGGAGCCATTTCCACTCCCTGGAATCTGCTCATGTGTCTCTCTCTGCATTCTGCATGCAGAGAGCAGGCAAGGGAGATGTTAAGAAGACTTTATCAATAAACTATAAATGCAGAAAAAAAGCAAGAGTTTGTTTAGATTGTGGCACACAATCAGGGTGGCAGCAAGAGAGTTCTGCCAAGAATAGTGATTCTTGGGAAAGCAATTTAGTGTACTGAGACACTACAATTCTTGTTAAATGGATTTACAGGAACTGAGATTCCCCTGCAAACTACACAGAGGCATCTGAATTATGGCTGGATCTGTGATCCTGTCTCACTCCTCGAGCCCTTGTTGTTTCTGGAGACTCCCAGACACATAGGAAATATGATCATATAAATTCTGACCATGCTCTTCACTGATACAAACCACAGATGGGCAAGCAAATTAATTACAATGTAAGCATTTGCGTTTATAAGAAATAACATGTAACAATACCTATATCAAATAAAGCAGATTAAAAGAGATATCTTTTTAAAAAATTCAGTGTTTGAATTTTTAAAATCCCATTTTTTTGAGTTGAAAACCTCAGGGTTATCATTTCAGATCAAAAGTCTAGAGTAACAATTGAAACAGTCTGATTTCCATAGTGGTTGCACCAGTCTAAACTCCCACCAGCAGTGGAGAAGATTCCTTTTTTCCACAGCCCCTCAAGCATTTGTTGTTGGTTGTTTTCTTGATGGTGACCAATGCTTTCTGGAGTGAGACAGAATCTCAGTTTAGTATTAATTTGTATCTCTCAAAACCTGTGATATTGAACATATTCATGTGTATTTGCCATTTGTACTTCTGTATCTGAGAAATGTACATTCTTTTTAGATGCTTATTTTTGGATTACGTTTTTACATATGAGGTGTCTGACATTTTGAGTTCTTCATATATTCTAGATACTTTAGGCCTTTGTCTGAGAAACAGCTGGCAAAATTTTTCCCCATGCAGTGGTTTGTATCTTCACTCTGTTGGTGGTTTCATTTGCTCTGCAAAAGCATTTTAATAAGACAAAATCCTGCTTCTTAAGTCTCTGTAATATTTCATGTTTGATCCAATATTTACTCATGAAGTCATTGCCTATAATTTTGTCTTCAAGAGTTCTGTTTTTCTTTCACAAGATTTAGTTTTTCTGTTTTAGATTTTATATCCATCTTGCCTTTAGTTTAGTGCAAGGCGATGGGCATGAATCTACTTTTAGTGTTTGACATTTAGAAACCCAGTTTTTTCAACACTATTTATTAAAGGGGAGGCCTTTCACACAGTGAATATGCTCGGCCCTGTGTGAAAGGTAAGGTGACTTAGTGTGTTTGGAGTTGTTTGTGCATCTGTGTGGACATTCCATAAAAAATAAAACTAGTTATTCACCTTCTTGGAATCTCCCCAAAAGAATTAAAAGCATCACAACAGAGGGATATATGCACACTTAGATATAGCAGCACAATGTATGATGGCTAAATCTTGGAAAGTCCAAATGTCCATCAGCCAGTGATTAGATAGAGAAGATGTGTTTTTTTTTTAAATACAATGGAATGCTAATCAGGCATAAAAAATGATTAACTTGAGACATTTCGAGTTAAATGATTGTACATTGAGGGTATATTTCAGTAAGATAAATCAGATACATGTGTGTAAATATTGTATTCTCCAGTATGACAAAGTGAGAATGTAAATAAGGACCAAAATGTATAATAGATATTGTAAAATAGGAAGAAAATGTTTGAATGGAAAGGGGAACAGGGAGGGTAGAAAGAAATAAGTACAACAAGAAGAAGAAAAATTGAAACAAAGGTTTTGTAAATATAAGGAAGGGAAGAAAAGTTGAAGTAAGTGGAATGAGAAAAACAGAAGAATTAGTTTGTAAAATACAAAGGTACAAATTCCCTATAATGAATGTGTTCATTATATAAATCTAAAATGTATTAATACACTTAATTAAAAATCAATTTGTAGAAGATTGACAGGTAATTAAGAATGATTGTGGTGGTAGTAAAAGCATGCTTTAGTTTAGGAATTAGAATGGAAGCATTGGAAAGCAAAAGGAAAATGAAAGAAAGGAATTGCTAACCTAAGCGGAAGAAGTGACAGTTCATTATTGCTACCATTGTGTTCATGCATTTACTATAATAAAAGTAACAAAGTCTTTCACTTCAAAAAGAAAGATGAATTTTATGTCCTGCAGAAAACTCTCACTATGACAGAGATGTAAGGGAGTCCTGAACAGGGAGTGAATGTGTAGCCTCCAATCTTTCAGCAACCAGATGAGTCAGCAGATGGGCTGGTGTCGGGCAGCACACCACGCATGACCCAAGCTAATTCTGGTGAGGAACAACTTCAATGTGATAGGAAAGATCACCTGTCACAGCTGTGACAACCAATGCTAAGATATCCAAGCTGTACTGGGCTGGGGGAGGACATCTAAGACCTAACAATTAATGAAGATTTCTTTCTACCCAAATTTATAACCAGTATGCTGGCAGAGGTCTTCTGTGGCCTCACAAGACTCTAGATGTTCACTGTTGTTTATGGTTTCTAGGAGCTGACAGGAGAGAAGGAAGTTTGCGAACAGGAAGGAGGTGGCCTTGGCTCACTGTGGCTGCTTGCACAGAGATATACAGCAGAATCCCCTGGCTGTGCACTCTGGATCTTCAGATGGGAGAAGGTGCCCTCAGTCCTCTCAGCAGAGAACCTTTCAGGAGGCATCCCTGAGGTGTCTGATGGAAGTTCATCCCGAAAGTACATGAGGAACTTCGGGCTTTGTTCTGGGTTCTTTTGGTACCAATAAAGAACAGTGTGTCCAGAAACTGGATCACACCTGAAAGTTACATTCTGTCCCTTTATTGTGACCTTGTTACTTGGGGACTGGGAGACTCCAGCTTTGGTGTGATCTATGAAGACAGAGGCTGGGAATAAAATGATAAAAACAGTTACAGTTGCCACTTGCATAAGCCAACACATGCATACACACATGTGCATAGTCACAGACACAAAAATACAATAAAACTGCGTGGTTTTCTGTGCACTCACCTATTCCCAGAAGACAGAGGGCAACCCAGGAAAGGAACGCAGTGCCCATGGCAGGCTGAGCTCAGAACAGAGGCTCACCAGATCAGACAGAAAAGGAAATGCATCTTTTGACACCACACAGTGGTTCTCACCATGACATCACTTCCTCTCAAAATCCCCTCCACCTTAGTAATACGTAACATACATTGAAAAATACTAGGGTGACTGATTTAAATATTTATAAACTCGTTTTTAACAAAAAAATAATTCATAGGTCATAATTTCTAAACTTAATGCTGTCTGGATGCAGAGTCCTCACATTTTGTGTTTTTTCTCAAGGAAGGAATAAAAGATAGGTCATACATCTGTGTATGAATGCATTGTAAACACAAAAACTTTGCATATAAAAATAATCTTTTATTTTTGCCTTTTCCCACTCACACACAACTCCAAGCAAAGTACCGAAATTATGTTTGTTGGCTTTATTACATTTGAATTAATGAATATATCACCCTTTGAAGTGGAAATTTCAACACCAAGAGAAAAGCAGGTCTATCCATGTGAATTCTCCCATGCTCGTTCAACAGGTGAATGCTTTTCGTAATCCACAGCAGACTGATTCACTCACAGAAATTCACTAACTTTTATAGTTCTGAACCCTGGATTAGGCAACTGGAATCTAATATGTGAAAAACATTAGGACGCCAAGTCCTAACTTGAAAAATTTGTTTCTCCATTGGTCAGCTGAAGACAATGAAAGAAAAAATGTACTTGAGTTATCACTTAAATCCAACTTATTCAGAGAAATACAACATTTCCACTTTGAAGTTTATGTTATCCTTTGAGTGGGTTTAAAGTTCACAGTACAATGTTCACAATGGGTTTAAAGATCATACCTTTCACATGAATAGTATATGAGTTAATGTTGCTAGGCAGACTCTAGCAACATGGCAACTCATGAAGTAGAAAACTGTATAAACAGATAAAAGTGTGCTTCTGAAGAGGGATACAACTGGAACCTCAGTGGTGACAGGAAAATCCAGAGGAGAGACATTCCATTTTTGACATCATCCAACTGCCATCCCAAGTGCAGGCAAGTAGGATCTCCTGAAGACCATAGCAGTGTAAGAAGGTGGGTGACTGGAAGTATTGTTTAGGGAGATGCTTTCTTGTCTGAGGTCCTTTTAAATCAATTACTTAGCTTAGAAACTATGATTCTAGGACAAAGGTCAAAGGTCAAGGAGGCCTTTACTCAGAATTTAGGATGAACTTGTAAGAGACTGACCATTACACCTGGAAGATCATCATGGTCTTGCAGAGAGACAATGACCTGCAGGTACAGAGGTGTGCAACACCCAAGGACATCCTCTCTCTCTCTCTCTCTCTCTCTCTCTCTCTCTCTCTCTCTCTCTTTCTCTCTCTCCCCTGCACTCTGTGACTAGCTGATCTTTTGAAATGCTGGCCAATAATAGTGAGGCTTAGTCAATGTCATAAAACCATGGAGGAAACCCCACAGCGTCTCTAGCATCAGGATTTCATGGATTTCTCCTGCTCCTATTTTAGGTCTCACCAAGTGGCTGGACAAGTGGCTGGAGGTGCCCTTATCCTCGTCCCCAATAGCTCCAGTCCGTGCTTCTGAACCATCCCTCCAAAAGCTCTGCCCACCAGCTGCTCCCTGACTTCTGGCTAATCACTTCCACTTTGCTTTTCCTCAGCACTTCTCACATTTGAAACAGGCCTAATTCACACGAGAAGACCTCTCTTCCCGTAATACAGCTAATGCTTCTGTTCCGCTGTGGGAGACTTCATAGTGTTATTGATACTGGAAGTGATTTTCAGGAAAGAAAGTTTGGGTTAACATTCTGGAATTTGAGCTCCATACTGGCTAGATTTCTTGTGAAGAAAGCAGCCGAAGGAAAGAGCAGACTTTTGGAGAAGCCTGGTTGTGAAACTGTAAAAGAAGCCAGAGCTGTTAGATATTGTCAGGAGATTACCCACTATATTCCAAAACCCACTGTAGCCTGTCGAAAAAAGGATGTAACTCCTCATATGTAATACCTGATCTCTGCCAGGCAAGTGTGTAATCTAGGGTATTCTTGTTGTTGGTTCTTCCATCCATTTTGTCAGTCATTCACTCACCCTTTCTCTGTAAGATGATGTTGTACTCAGGTGTTATGAATAGAAAAATTAAAATCAGGACATGGAATTTATAATATTATTTTATGATGGCCAGGCAGAGTTAATACTAGCAAAGGCAGGAAATCTATCCCCAACACTAAAGACATAGAATATGTAACCAAGGGCCTGAATCCCACAGCAATGTACCACATGATTCCAGGTGAAGACCCAGAACTCATGTCTGCCTCCCACAAGTCCAACTGGAGGTCTAGAGCCCACAAGAAGGACTCATGCCAGTCTCTTTAATGGATCCATGTTGGGATGGCTCATAGGACAGCAGTGCAATCTAGAAAGTCTGTGCCAGCAGGGTGAATGAGCTGTGTTGGTAGGATTAGGGGTCTACACTAGAGCCAATCAGTCATGATCAAAACAAAGACCAGGGATGTCCTGAAAGGGACCACAGCCACCCTCACAGACATGGAGGTCCAACCTCCTCCAATGATAATCAGAGTCGAGTACATGGCAGGAAGCCAGTGTGACAAGTTCATCCTGGAGATTAAGCAGCACACTTCTTTGCCTTTAGTCCAGGGAGTAATGGGAGATGTGAGAATCAGAGGTTCTCCAGGAGAACAAATGGCTCAAACATCAACACTTAGGAGAACCCACAGTGCTTCAATGCCTCAGTAGCTCAATGCCTTTTTACTCCTTCTCCATGTCTCTATTTATGCAGACAAATTTCCTCAGGTGAAATATCAATGCTCAGCACCATGGTGACTTAATTCTGCCGGCCTTATGTTGACCACTAGTTTTTAATTCATAACAGATGGGTTCTCATTGCAGTAAACTTAGTTTATCGGGGAGTAAAGAGACAGTTATAACCCTTAAAATGTGGATGAGTAGAAAAATAATCAGCCAAATTCTGCAAAATTATAACTGTTCTCTATTCTATTCATATGAAGCCTTGTGAAGTTATAGAAGGGAAACTGAGCATGGTAGGAAGGAAAGCAAACTTCCCTTAGGAATATCACTGAAACCTGAAGTCCAGCTGTGTTTTTGCCTCTAGGAAATTAAAAAGACTATGCCAGAGGAGGTGTCACTGCCCTCTCTGCTACTGAAAAGATCAGGCTTGGATGAGGGCCTGACAGCATGGATGGAGTAGAAAGACTAGAGAAATGGAGAGAAGAAAGGCTTGGTGGGGATCTGGAGCACAACCACCATCATGGGAAAGATCACCGTCAGCTGAGACTACATGACAGATGAAGCATGTAAGAATTCTCCAGAGAGGTGATAGTCTTCCAGAGCAATGATTCCAGGTATGTCCAAGTCACAAACCATGCCCCATGTTGGAAAGTGTTGCCTCAGGCCTATGACTAGAAAAGTCAGATTCAGACAACCATATTCAATGAGCAGTAGTGGAGACCTCTGTGTCCAGAGTGAGTTTGGGGCTGGTTGAGACTCTGTGGATATACACACTGACAGTAAAAACCCAGTGTCCTTGGCATGCGAACCTACCAGAGCTACCATCTCTTCTCAGGTCATCAGTTAATTCTAGGGTGCAAAGACTCCTGGCCTTAATGTGCAGAGCACTGTCAGCTGTGTGGCACTGTGGAATCACTGCTGGCCAAGAAGTACCCAGATGTCTGCGAGGGGCTACTAGACTGCACAGTGAGGAGGAAGTTCTCTCTACTTGGTCAGAACTCACTGTACCCATCAGAGACTTCTCCTTTTTCAGTGATGTTAGTATCATATGAGTAATCGATGAGTCTCAGCTCCAGCCCTGGAACCTGTTGGTACCATACATGCACTCATGATTCAGCCTCTGGACACAGCTCAGTATCATGTGCTGGCCTCTTTTTAGGACCCAAGACATGGGGGTCTGGTTGATGCCAGCATTCCCTGGACCTGGAGAGAAAGAAGAAAACACTGATGCCACAATCCAGTGAAAAGACCTGGACTAGGACCTGAAATCCCATGCCAAGTGCCTTCCTTGGGCTCACCTGCCTGCAGGAGGCAAAAGGCCACACAATAGAGAAAGCTGGGGCTCATGGCAGGGGCCCTGCAGAACTGAGGAGTCTTATGGGCTCCTGTTAGACAAAAGGAGGTTGGGACTTTAAAGGAGGAGTCATTCTGAGTCCCTAGTCTTCCTCCATGAGGCTCATGGCTTTCCTGTCACTGGGGAACATGTTCCTCCCTCCTCAGGAACAAGTGTAAAATAAATGTGTGATCATAATACAGATCTTAGAATGGGACACATTTGTCTGAATTGACACAAGTTATTATTGACTTTTGTGTAAATCAGTTTTTAAGCCCTTGTCTATTATATTTCTATATGATAGTCTGCTACACTAACAGTGATTTTAATATTATAAGTATTTCTGTAGCATAAAGTATTAGAGAAAATCATTAGGGCTTTTGAGTAATTTTAGACTCACATGTCCCAAATTTTCCTTTCAATTATCATGCATATGGATCAAAAATCACTGCTCAGTTTTTTTAAAATGTGTGATGTGTAGTACATATAATATAGTTATCAGAAACTGTAAGATGATGTTGTACTTAGGTGTTATGAATAGAAAAATTAAAATCAGGACATGGAATTTATAATATTATTTTATGATGGCCAGGTAGAGTTAATACTAGAAAAGGCAGGAAATCTATCCCCAACACTAAAGACATAGAATATGTAACCAAGGGCCTGAATCCCACAGCAATGTACCACATGATTCCAGGTGAAGACCCAGAACTCATGTCTGCCTCCCACAAGTCCAACTGGAGGTCTAGAGCATACTGGCACCATTAAGCTCACATGACTGGCACCATACTAGTTGATTTTAAATATCTGTCTATGGACATATATTATATTCTGCACTTAATTTCAGAGGTTGATTTTAAATATCTGACTATGGACATATGTTGTATTTTGTAGTTAATTTCAGTAAAAAAAATTCTACATTATTTCAGTACAAATATAAATTTTTATTTCCGTGACTTTCAGATGTTCACCTGCAGGATGGCTAGGCAATATAATT